GATGTTGAAGCCATTTAAGTCCCCCCTCCCATAAAAGTATTATTTTACAGCAATATTAAATATATATTTTAGCAAGTTTGAGAGAGTCACTGTTCTTCGGTGTACCTGTGTACACATTGCTTAGCAACAACACAAAAGCCATTTTATATCAAGTTGAAAAGATAATACAGAAGATCCTCCTGAGGCATTTTGATCTTTGGTCTGTTTGGTTCTATTCAAATAAGAAAAACATTAAAGCAGCTGTTCTTTCAAGGATATCAAGGAGGAGCCTTTCAACCCCTAGATAAGACAAGAGCAGAGAGAAATCAATTTGCCTTAAGAAATAATCAATTATAGTTAAAAAGTTGTATAATTAATTAGTAAGATTAACTACTACTTTACCAGTAATAGCTTAATAAGGAATAAGTATTACTTATGCTTATGTCCAACTTGCTGGCAAAGATGGTGTTAATTTGACTAATTAAATACTTTCCAGTTTAATTAAGCACGCCTTAATTATAAACAAAAAAAGAGCTTTTTAAACTGCAACTGATTAAATGACTGCTTTCCAAAGCCATATTATATGAAGAAGCTGGTCGGAATCACTTAATTCCAAAGTCCCAATTAATTTGTGTATCAGCAAACTTTGTAGTTATGTGTTTAGCAACATTTGTAGCTGCAGGTGAAAAAAAAGGGTAACGGGTACAAAGAGTAAACACTTGATGGTGCAGATAGTTCTAGTATCCTTTAGACCCCTCTCCGCTCAAATTCTGTTCTGATAGAGGAAAGCTTTGAGGGCTTGTTCACATCGTGTACGGATCATGTGCAGACCAGAACAGGCTGTTCCAGGACCAAAAAAAGCATCCCAATGTATCCCTATGGTATTTTTGGGCTCTGTTCACACCAGCACAGTCCATTCCGGTGCAGACCTGAAAAATACTGCTTGTCTCATTTTCTGCGTTCTGGAATGCTTTGGAATGCATGGAAAAGCATCAAAAACGCATGAAAATGCACTGGAAGGCACATGTAAGCCCATTTTGAGGCCAGGTTCACACCATTTTCCAGACCAGATCCGGACCACATCTGAAACATGGTGCATTGCATTTTGGCGTGTTTTAACTGTGTTTTTACCATAATTTTTTTGTTTAGCTTGAAGTGGACTTACAGGTGTAGTCCGGTGCATTCCAGTGCATGTGCATGAATTTTTCATGTGTTTACATGCGTTCCAGACCACAGAAAAGGAGACAAGCGGTATTTTTTTTTGTCTGGACTGGAATAGACTGCGCTGGTGTGAACAGAGCCCAGATACCATAGGGATACATTGGGATGATTTTGTGGTCCGGGAACAAACTTTTCTGGTCTGGACATGATCCAAACATGGTGTGAACAAGCCCTTAATCCTTGGAGCTTGCCCACCATCATACCTCCCTGAGATTAGAAAGAGGGACATCCTCTAGCACAATGTATTCGGACAATGAACATACCCCGCCACGCACCCAATTATGCGGACCAGTAGGAATTTATAAAATAATTGATCAAACCCGGCATAGTTGTTTTCCACCATTACTTTTCCCTTTTTTTGTTGGATTTCTCAAAGTAGCAAACATGTTAATTAAAAAATAAGATAAAGGTATTAAATGTTAAAATGGCATGCTGAGGCAAATATTATTTTTATAACTTTACTGATACTTTAAAGGAAGTGCTGTCACAGAAACCTATAAAAGTCATCATTATTTAGTTTAGCACCACCGGTGACAATCAGTGCTTCTCAGCATGTTATGTGGGCTGGTTTAAATAGAAATCGGGCTTGTGGAGTTCTTTTTTCTGTGCTTAACCAAACAAATGATGTACAATTTCACCCCTAAAATATGCAGAGAAGACAGCTTGTTGACAGTTTTCTTTTTTGGCCATAGGATGTTTGTAAAAAATACCATCCACAGACAGCACATACCCATAAGTGAAAGAATCAGATACAGAACATTGAACGAGTTGGAGATAGAAATCCCAATCCTCCAAACACAATAGCTACATTTATTTCTAATTTCCAATTTAAATTGACACAATTGACACCTGAAACATTTTGAAGACTTGCTGTAAGATCCACCGGTCTGGGAAACCCTGGGAATACTCTGTCTGAATATTTTTTGTAGTGCCTGCAGGTTCACATTTGATCATTGCATGAATGTTCTTTAAAAAAAATTCATTGTAAGATGGTTTTGTTTTATGCTTCGAGGGATTAATTTGCTTGTTTGCATTATACAGATTTTGCTTACAGTATATATTGGTTCCTGGGGAAGAAAAGGAACTGCTCCTGTATAGGAGGTATCACAAAATACCATTAGTATCCCAGAATCCTGACAGAGAGAATGTGATATGCCACCATATAAACAAGCTTTCATGTCTGCATGTTGACATACATTAGGTAATTGGCTATGCTATGCATCCAGTACTGCCCAGGAACGTGGACATTTACAGACTGGTTTTCTTTCAGTTTGGCTTCCAGGGACTTCTCCCTGCATGCAAATTACAGTAATGCTTTCAAAATACAATAAGGCATTCAACTGCCAATATGCAAATTATTTTATCTCAAACTTTATTTAATATTCTGAGGGCCCATACTGTCATGGTGATACAGATCAAGTGCCGCAAGGCAAAATTAAATATGTGTCACTTTTCTATTCTACAATTTAATTATTTAAGGTAGCACTGTTTTGTTTGTGACTAAAAGAAGTATTGATTCACATTTAGGCGTAAGCAAATCTGATAATAATTAGATTGTTAATGAACATTTTACATACTATAAAACATCTGATGACCACAATTGATTGTATGTAAACAGTTGACTAGAGGGATTGCTTATGACCGCCTTAAAGAGGATATTGCTGTGGAAGCTGTGCTCAAAAAAGGCAAACAGAGGGAAGGCAGAGGCAGGGCTTTGCTATGCCCTAATAGCTAGTGATCTGATTATTGGTAATGATTAAGAAGGAGCAAAAGAGATTGAAGAAACACAGGTTTCCAGAATGCATGAAGCTGGGAGATCCTTACACTGCAGGTCCTCATATATAGCTTTGCTTTCTTCAAGAAGAACAGTGAGTGGCACAGTAGTGACATCATCAAATCTCACTCCAAATCTCCTGAGACTAGCAGTCAGAGGTAACCGTGCACAGCTACAGCTCTATAGGTCTACAGCTATGAGGCTCAAGGTACAGAAATGCCTAGTCACATGTCAGGAAGTGCACTGCTAATTTTGTATGACAAAATACACTTTTTCAGGATACTGATTTGGCACACTTAATATTTCTAGAAGTTCTCTATAAGATAGCAAAACTTCACTTTTTGAGTTAAGGTCCACCTAAGTCTAAATTACCTACCTTATCATTAGTAAAACTCCCGCTTTTGAGCAAAACCCTCTTCAGGGTAACAATTTAAATTGAAAGGACTGTAATAAACATAAATGCAGATTTTTACCTGTATTTGGGCTGTAGACAGGGCTGGATTTACTATTGGGCCCAGTAGGTATGTGCCTACAGGTAAACAAAAAACAACTGCGGGCCTTTTCCTGGGGCTGGTAAAACCTTTGTATTCAATAGCGTAAAAAAAATATACTCACAAATAAGGCAGTATGTAAAAACATCAAATTGCACTGCATCAGCAGTGGAACTCTGTGAGGAGAACAGAGTCTCGCTATTCAATCAAGGGCTGTCAGTCCATTTGCATGCTTTTACATACTGCCTTATTTGTGAGTATATTTTTGTTTACTCTTTTATTGAATAAAAAGGTTTTACCTGCACCAGGAAAGGCACCCGGTTGTTTTTTGTTTTTCTATATAGCCTTCTAGACTCCCTGACTGGACAGGGGCAGCCTCTACTGGATGCGCAGTGAAGGGTTCTGGCTTCTGGATGGTCTTCCTGGTGCTGGTCGGTGTATTGCATCTTTTTAATTTTATGTGCCTATAGGTGGCAGAGGCAATAATCATCTAATACTGTATACAACTATTTACACATTACCACAATATTCTAAGCCAGGTTAGTACCAGGAAAACAAGGAAAGGTCCTGTGTAAAGAGTGGATACCTGCACAGGGTGTTACTTGGCCAGCAAAAGTTGTATGCCAGTCCTGGCTGTAGACATTACCAATGCGCTTCCTTAATATGAATGCTAAATGGGAGGGTCTGTCTATTAAAGTCACATTATCAGTCCCAGTATTTTTTAGGAGAAAAGTGTACCCCAGAATCCCTGTAGAATCACTGTAAGCATCCTTGGCACGTTGTATCACCAAATATGGACAGCTTACTGCAGTGCAAGCATATTGCTGGAGATGTCTGAAAGTTTACCTTGTGCTCTGTGGACATTTTGGGAACAAGTAGGGAAGTGCATGCATTAGCAGGGGGATTATAATTCCGAACAGTCCTCAAAAACAGTATAATATTGCAATCTTTCTGGCTGCAGTGCCCTTATACTGCAACTAATATTTAGATTAGGAGCTACAGCTCATATGTGATGTTTTTAGGAAGTAATATTGCAATTCAATAGTGTTATTAACTCCCTAAGAAAGTGTTTGAGAGTTCAAGTCAAAGCTGGCTATATGCTGTGGTATGTCTGTGGAGGAGAAAAGCCCTAATATAAATGTGTTGGTCTTCGACACAGTTGGCAGAATTTTACAGTGTCCAATGGAAAATCTGTTCTTGTCACTTCAAAGGAATGAAGTCCAGTTGTCATTTTCCAGTGGTATAACTGTTTTTCCTTCTAACACAATTAGAACTAATGCCTTGCTATCATGTAGTACTGATTCTTCAGTTGTGGAACCTGAAGTCTTAGCAAAACCTTTTACAATATGGCAAGCAATGACCTATGGCTGCCAGATCCAATGTCAGCCACAATGTGTCCAAGTCCAGTAGTTAATTTTATATCCCCATATTTTCATGCTTTGAGAGTCCCAAATATGTCCAAACAATCCTAACAATTGAGTTGTGATTGGCAGCTTAGCTATACTGACAACTGTTTTCTTTTGTTTTGCTTACAGGAGCTGGTGGGGAGCAACCCTCCGCAGAGGAACTGGAAAGGAATAGCAATTGCCCTGCTTGTGATCCTTGTCATCTGCTCCTTGATTGTCACATCTGTCATACTACTGACTCCAGGTATTGTTTCAGAGTGTTGTAATGTGTGTATATTGATGAGGGTATTGAGTAGGAAGAAAAATACACAATGGCCTTATTGATTTCCAGTAAACAATCTTTGTCTATGGACTGGATACTTTTATACAGAACACAAAATGGTAGAGCAGAGAACCAACATTAAAGGTTGTTTTAGTCCCTCTCTCTACTGATAACAGGATATGGTTGTTGCCAACTGTCTAGACTGACACATACAGTGTTAGATCAGGTATTGAATACTGGAGATCATTCATGGACATGTTTGGCTCACATTAGTTTTCCCAAATGCCCCCCCACATAATACAATGGCCACTTATGAGGATCATACATGTTTGTCAAGTTTGGCAGTGACTGTGATTAGATATAGAAAACATATGTCTTGCTATTTAATATAAAACATTTACACCTTAAGTTAAAAAATGTGTTTAGAGTCCAAGAATAAAAAACACATGGACTTGCTATCTATTTGCATTGCAGTGGAATGTTTGTATACCATAAGAAATATATATCTGATAGAGATGTCGCTCTTGTTGTATGCCGTATATGAACTGATAACATGGCACTGTCATAAAACACCCATTTTAGTTTGTGTATAGTAAGGCCCCTCCTCCTTTGATAGAATGGATCTGTGAAAGCCCAATATAAGACAAAGAAATTAATTCAGCTCAACATTTCACTAACAACCTCCATTTTCATCTGAGCATTTGCTCCATGTTTCTTTTGTGGCAGTTGCACAACGGTGTTTATTTACAAAGGTAAATAGGCTGTACACTTTGCAAGGGAATTTCCCCTTAGCTTAGTGAAAGTGATGAAAAAATTCACTTTCCAATGAATACCCAATACCCAAAGAGAAATTAAAAACAAATAACACTAGGCTAAGGGAAAATTCCCTTGCAAAGTGAACAACCTACTTGTATTTAATAAATCAGCCCTAGTACATCTAAATATGCACTCCATTGGGCACCAGAGTTTGACCGCACCGCCCAGAGCACTCTATCATCTGACAGTCCTGGAAGGATACACCCCCTTCTCTTCCTCAGGAATTCAAGTTTGTGTGAGGACATTTGTGACAAGTGGCTGTTACTCGGCTATACCAACATAGAGCACTGGAGTGGGATGCAGATAACAGATTTTTAAGAGAAAAATATATTTTTAGGCATTTCCACTGCCACTCAATTTTCTTTTTCCCACATTGAGTTCTGGGCAGAATAGAAAATAATTTCACCTTTCTTTACACCTCATTTACTTATCTGTTAAGCGATGTTTTGGGCTATAAGTCTATGCAAGCTTTTTGTAATCACAGTATATTTAGCATTTTAAAGCTGACCATACACTGCTTGAAATTTGAGCTAGCACCTGCTAGCATCACTCTTTTTGACAAAAGTCGATTTGTCGAAGTAAGCAATCTAAAAATTGCCAGACAAGCAGCTACAGTCACTTTTCGTGTATTCTGACAGCCACAGGCACTGGCTGTCAGAATACAATAGCCTGCTAGGGTAGATCCCTTCATCCACCCTTTTTAGAGTAGATGCAGGAATTAAGTGTTTTTTCTTGTTCAGACTGTGGGAGTTAAAGGTTAGGTTTACCTTCCTGAGCATGTATTATGTTACACCCCCAGTTAGAGTGTAACATGAAACATAGTTTTCACAATTGTAGTCCATTCATTCTTCTTCCCTTCCATGTTACTGAATATCTGTACGGACAGGGAGGGGAGGGATAATCTGCAAGCGCCAGAGCATTGCACCCATGATCCACTGATCGTGGTTGCAATGCTTTATTGGCTCTAAAGCAAAAAAAGATATAATTTTTTAATCATATAATGTTGTATTTTTATAATGTTTTTCTACATTTTCTTTCTTTTATGTAGAAGTATACATTTATTATTTTTAATAAGAGTTAAGAGCCTTTAAGAGTTATTTGTGTTTTTTTATTCCAACTTTTTATTTAAAACCAAATTATCTATCTATCTATCTATCTGTCTGTCTGTCTGTCTGTCTGTCTATCACTATGCAGTGTGGCTGTTCGCTAACATTTAGCGATTGCATATGTCTCAGAACAAATTTCCACTTTCTGCCCATAGGGTATTATATTGTTTGTGGGTTTTGCTTTGCAACAGGAAAAACTTTCTAGTTTTAAAACTATGTTTAGCTAATGATGTATTCAAACACATGATCATACTTGGAGTATTCACTGAGTAACTTGAGGATTCAATAATAATTTAGTATATGGTTTATAAGCAAAACTTGAATTCCTGGCAGTATTCTGACTATCAGTATTATAATCTACCAGTCGACTTTGACACTTTTCTAACAGCATAATCAAACACAGGACGTGCTCTGCACCCACCGTAGTCTGTCCTTCATATTTGGTACAGTGTAGTTCAGTGCTTCTTCCTCACGATAATGTGAACTTCTCTCTTTGAAACACAGCTTAGTCCTGTTCTCTAGACAGACATGTGTCTCGCAGGAACATGGGTTTGTGTAATAACTGCCAACTAAAAACCCCTTTCCCCTTCATCTCTTCCCGTCAACCTGTCAAATGGGATAAAACATCTTCCTTATTTAAGATTGCTGTTTGGCAGTGAGGTGACAGGGTTTAGATATTGATCAGCCATCACAGTGAAGAATAAAAAGCATGGACGAAAATTCTAAAAGTAGATCAGCTCGGCTTCCTCAATATATGCCCTTCAGCTTCCAAGCCAGTTATGCCATGCCGCTTGACAATGAACAGCCCACGTAACTAAAAATGAGCAACATGGCAGAGCTATGATTACTGCTGGTAATTAACTTTTGCCTGTCAAACATGCAGATGGGAGGAGGCACTTTTTGGTCTCCCAAAGTTTAAGAAATAGAGCATAGTCGCCAACGGTCCTAGATTTCTTTTGCAAGTCTAACGTTTCTGTGGCTGAGTGGGAGAAACTTTTTTTTAAATTCTATGCAACCAGGGAGGGTAAAGGCATGGATGGGGAGGTGAGGAAGGGGGATCAAGGTTTCTATGGAACGTTTCAAGTAAAATGAGTAGAAGGAAGTACACAGACACATGCAGGGTGACTGTAGGTGCCCCAAATTCTCCCATAATTTAGAAAAGCTGTTCTAAATAATAATAGAAGCATTAGTATTTATGCTTCTATTTATGCATTTAGAGTGCTCTATGCTTCTAGATTAAAGTACTGTAAATGTGCATGATATATAAATGAAATGGTTGCTTTATATAGTTTATAAAACTTTTAAAATATATGTGCACGCAGCCAGACTTTGAAAATCTTAACAATATTAATTCCACATTGGCCTTAGCAATAGGGTTTACAACTGTAACTAGGCTCCACCCGAACAAGAGGTTTGTGATATGAGTCAGTGCTCCTGCAATTCATTCTGCGTTACTGTCACCTCCCTGGAGTTTACATTACTGCAGCCCAATGAGTTAGCTTCTCCTCTTCTCCACAGCTGTAAGCAATTATAATAATTGTGGTGCTCACACAAAGAAAGTCTTGCTTACTGGTGATAACCATAGATGGCAGGGTGGTTCACTAAATGGTGCGGCATTTGAACGTCCTCAGTTGGTTTGCTTTTTTGCATGTTACTTTCTCTCTGGCTTAGCCAACAGGTCTTTGCCATTTGCTATTAGTATTTATTAACGCTGTATGAATCTTGGATGAAAACATTGATAAAAAGCCGCCCCATCTCTGTGGTAACCATATCCATAGTGGTTGGAACTATTAATTAATTCACCACAGAGATGCCCGTTTTAGACACATTCATACCCAACCAATATCACTATCGTTGGATCAGTTGCATAACTTGCAAGGGCCCCTGAAAAACCCTTAGCTTTGAAATGTCATTCTGGTTAAAGAGGAGATTTTACAGTTCTTCAAAATGTAGCTCTGGGACTGTAGGGAACTTAAGATACAAGGAATGAGGGCAGGTACAGCCCTGACATTGCTGTTTTACCTTTAATAGGCTGGACCAGTATTTTCGAGAATGTAAAAGAATGCTATCCAAAAGTAGGCAAGGGAAATGACTCTGATTTGCAATATACGTCTATTTGTGTTGAAATTTGATTTGAAAAATGTTGATAGTTTTGAGTATTGAGCAAATTAGGAACACTTTGGCACTGTGGCATAATCTTTCAGGGATCATCAGTGTTACGTTTTTCCTGTTTTGACTAAGAAAGCATAAGAACAATTATTTCAGTACCAAAAATTCTTAACACAATACCCCACTATCTAAAGTTATAATATTTTATTGTACAGAATTAAATCTCCCTATATATAAAAATGTATCTTGGAGTTAATATTGTAGGGTGTGTTTTTTTTTAATTTTAGTAAAAAGTCTGATAGCAAAACCTGATAATTTCAAAAACAATATCCTGTCCTGTGACAGACAAATGAAATATATGTCTTTAAAACCTTCAGGGAACATAATCACAACTTGACCCTAATGTTTTGAGATAAAAGGTAATATGTTTTATGCTAGTCTCTACTGCAGATTGTTATCTTTATATGAATTGTATCTTACACTTTTCCATTTCTGACATACAAATACAAATATACAGATATCATTTTTTTTTTTGCCTTAAAACACATCTTATAATAATTTTTTTATACTACAAACTATTTGTTTGTTTTTTTGCTAACCTACACAAATAGGCCACATATACAGGTGAAACTCGAATAATTAGAATATTGTGCAAAGTTCATTTATTTCACTAATGCAACTTAAAAGGTGAAACTAATATATGAGATAGACTAATTACATGCAAAGCAAGATAATTTAAGCCGTGATTTGTCATAATTGTGATGATTATGGCTTACAGCTCATGAAAACCCCAAGAACCCCAAATCCACAACCTCAAAAAAGTAGATTATTACATGACACTAAAATTGTATCATCTCTGTTTTGGATGGACTTACCTATTTGCAGTTTGCACCTAATCCACATGGCCCATTGTAGGTAGGATGTGTTTTCTTGAGGGCTGTAAATCACTGA